GGCTGGTAACGGCACGGCCAAAGTCTGACGGGTCTCTGCAGGCTTTTCCCCCGTTAAAAATCATTACTTATCATGATGCCTTTAAATCTGCACCACTCGCGCGTGCCTACGGCCAGGGCTGCCACCCACTCCGATCCGGATTTGACTCAGGTGCTGGGCGCCAGCACTGCACGGCTCCCTCTCCCCTTACGGTTTCACAAGCTGCCTTTTTGACGGGGTCAGATAAGCCGGCTTTTTTTACTTTTTTGGTCTGCCAGACAATGATACTGCACTTAAAAATATACCCTCAAATTCCAAGCGCTGTCAAGCTGGATGCCCCGCAGAAATAAGGTAATCAAGGATGAATAAATCTCTTTGCGCTGTGCTAGTTCTGAGGGGATTTACTGCTTTATGAGGAGAAAAAGGAGAATGAGTGCCTGTTTTGACAGCCACGTGGAACTTGCTTCACTTCACTCTGAGTGGGCAGGAAAAGGAAGACTACAGGCTGCCAAGGTGAATCCAAATAATTAGGTCATCCCGCGGGGTCCTGCCTGCTCCACATTGCTCAGTGCTGGAGAGACAGAGATTCATTTTCAGATCTCGATCCAATCTCTGTTCTCTTCCTCACAAGAGAGGAAAGGAGAGGGAATCACTTTGGCATTTAAGGAGAGACAGATTTAAAATGTGCAGCAGAGCACGAAGCGCCTTGTATTTCAGTCTCCGAGGCTTCCACCTCCTTCCCAGTCTGCAGAGAGCAGGCTGTTAGGATGCACACTTAGCTAAGGCCAGTAAGAAGCATTAGGATGTAGAGGACTTGTCTGGGAGGGAAGATGAAAGAGACTATACAACTCGGCGAGGAAAACCAAGTGCTACAGCAGCACTCTCTGCTGATTACTCTCCTTTGTGCAACGCTCTTCTCCAGAGCACTCCTACACAACCTTGGCTCTCCAGCTTGTTTCCCAGAGCAACACCCAGCACCCATGAGCCCTGCAGCAACAACCAAGGTTTCCAGATAAGAGCTCTACTCAGACACCAGCAACAGCAACATCATCTCTTACAAACCATGACAGCAACTAATTTTTATCCGGGGGGGGGAGGGGGAAAATGATTCTCCAACTCACTGATTGTGGTGAAGACGCTTGTGAAGCAGAAGTAATCCACAGCGTTGAGCGAGAGCAGGTGATACAGAAACTGTTCCCGTTCTTCTTCACAGCGCAGGAAAGCGTAACGCTTGTAAAGTTTCCTGGTAGGAACAAATACATTGCTTTCTTGTTGAAAAAGCACCATGTATCTTAAAAGGTGTTTGAATCTCAAAACACCAACTGAAGAGTTGGATCTTCATGGGAGGTATGAAAAGTGTGAGATTCCACAGCTAACACAAGCTGTTAGAAACCCATAGGGGGCATTTACCCACTATGCTATGTGTGTTTTACAGACCACTCTCAACTCCACTCTAGCATAGCAAGGCTACAGGGTTCATCTCGTTAAAGGATCAGTTTTGGTTCTGCTGCAAAGCACAGGTATAAATTAACACTGCTCACAACAACAGACCTGAACCAACATGCAGCAACCTCATTTCTTCCCCATATCTTCCCACTGCAGAATAGCCTTGTCTTAGAAAACTAACCAGAAGGCACCAAACCACGGAAGGCACCAGACCACAGAAGGCACCAGACCACAGAAGGCACCAAGCAGCAGCAGGGGTCTTCCCACCACTTTCACTTTGGCAGACCCAGTGTAAATCACTAATTGCCCAAAGCAGCGCAAAGGCATACCAGGAGTTAACCTGGACCCGCTCTGAGAAAGCACAGAGTTTTTGACACTGCCAGCAGTCTGAGGGCAACAGACTCCCACCAAGCTGCTAAAGGTAGATGGGTGTAGATGAAACTTCAGAAAAAAAGACAGGTGTGCCACCTGATCACCCAAGAAGTGACTGTCTCCAGTTCTGCCAAGAACTGCGTGCAATAGCTAGGATGTTTTCATAAGGTTTGGGTTTTTTTTCCTAAATGCATTGCTTTGAGAAAATGAAGTCGGGGAACACCTACACAGGCAAATTGTTTGCCTGTGCTTGCAAAAGGAGGCAAAGATGGGGGAGCTGCTAAGAGGCTGGGAGGGCTGGCATCTAACCCAGCCCATCGGCAGTCAGGATGGGGGCCTGCATTTGGCTGGAGTCAATGGTAACGCAGGGCTGCTGTGAGAAAAGGGGCATTCCTCCTCCCCAGCTACCCTCTGCCCTCTGCTCAGTCACTTCTAGCAGGAAACCACAGTGCCCAAACAGGGCCCCTGGCTGCGCCCCGAGCCTGCAGAGCACCTTGACACACCAGTGAGGAAGACCTGAAAGTGAAGCTTTGAGAAAAAGAGCCAACTTACTTGGCAAGTGCCTGGTTGGAGAGCAGCTGCTTCAGGTGCTGAGACAAAAGCTTCTTCTCCAGAGAAAGCCTTATCCAGGCTCGGGCTCGCCCCACATCAGTCTTTATCTCGCTCATGTTCTGAACATGCCTGAAACGGGTGGGGAAAAAAAATAATAATAGATGAATCATAAAAATCCTACATGCTTCAAATGGCAATATCCAGTGTGATGCAGCAGCTGAACTGGAAAACATCTCCTGACATAATTTCTAGAGAAAGAGACCCCGCCCAGCAGGGCCACGCCGTGCCCTGCGCTATGGCACTGAGACCCCTGGCAGCCCCAGGCTGGCCCGGGGACATGGGGCAGCCCTTCCTGGGGTGGCATGGGCATGGCAGGGTGCAAACCCGACG